ATAACTAATTAAATTAATAAAAAAAAATTAGTCAAGAATTAAATACCTTGATATCTTTTTCATCTTTTTTCAAAGAATCATTTAAACATATTTTACTTCTATCTAATGGTTTTATCATTTGTTCGGCAAATGTTGAATAAGCCAGTGGTTTTTTACTTCCTTTTTCTTTTTCTGCTAATCATTGTAATAGAATTATTTTTTAACAAACAATTTTCAATATTGAACATACCTAATGCAGGTGAATTTGATGGCCATTCTTTAATAAATGCAACAACTGAAACAAATTCTGAAGCACTCAATGGCTTTGCAGAACATAATGCTGAAATAGCTGCCAATGCTAAATTTAAATGAGAAGAGTAACTATCCCAGTTATCATTATTTTTTATAAGATCCATATATGTAAGTAAACATTTCAAAAGAATTTTACATCCCTTAGTAATAGCAGTTAACTCTTTTTTTTTCAACTATAAAAATAAACATAAATTTATTAAATAATTATAAAATATAATTAACCGTGTATTTTTTTGTATTACATAAAGTACAAAGATGACCAATGTAATTCGCAGCTAATGTAACAAAATAGAAATAAAATTTGTTCTCATTGATGTCCTGTTCGCTAAAACATTTTTCACTAAAAAATAACAAAAAAAAAAAAATTTAACATTGTAATCAATACATAAAACGACAAATATTAAAAAATAAGTGTATATGATACACTACAAGTACAAAGCAAAATACAGTACTCACCTTTGATCAATAAAATTGAGCAGAGTTAACAAATTACTTTTTGCATTGGAACCTGTATCGTAAAATACAAATTTTACAGATGCCCAATCCAAATCACTTTCAAGCACCATTTTTGGTGTGTTGTATCCGAAACAACTACACAGATCTTTTCATATTGAGTTTAACACCAATAACCTGCACAAGATGTAATTTTTCAGACATTATTGATAATATAACAACAAATTAGTTATTGAATATACAAAATAACAAACAAATTACATATTCAGACAACAATAATAATAATTATAGTAAAAAACCTTACATTTAAAAATTATCTCAATTGTGTGTAAAAAATAATGACGTCATTCTAAAGTTATAAGTTTAAATTTTATAAATCAAAATGACCTGAATCACTTTAAATAATGATATACCTATTTAAACAATAAAACGATTACGAACTATATATAAATATATGTATGTGTGTACATCACACCAGTAGTAAGCTACTAACAAAATGACTATGCAAGTTAATAATACAACGTAGTATAAATGTTTTGTTGAAATTGAAATGAAATGAGAATAAAGAATTTACGCATTAAAATGGAAAAGCCCGGTTTTATACAATACACTTACGGATGATTATTGTCTTTCACACTGCCAAAAACGCTACACTTCACATGTTACACAAATCGTAGCACAATTAAGAACGACGTTATTTACGTTGATAATCCAATACGGTGAAGAACACAGCAGAAATAGACGGGAATTTAATAATATCAAGACCAACTGATTTGTGTCATTTATGATTTTACACTTCAATCCTCGACAATCTTTTATCGGACTACGGTTCGCACTGTACCACGGTATAAATAAAGAGTCTGATACGGTTGATTATGCGAGAAAATAACCCGAGTACAGCCATTATTTCTCAACGTTAAGTCGTCATGATGTTGGTTGCAGAAAACGATGGTATCACGAACAGATAGTCCAAAACCACCCATGGGGACCAAGATGTCCATTCCGTGATAACGTACCATAGTTCCGCGGAGATACCGTGAGTGTTCCCAAAGAGTATGGAACTGCGCGGTCGTTCACGTGATACCCAATAGTCTTGTTTGTATTTTGTTGATACTGTAAAGTAGGTTAGGTACGCGGCTACTTTGAAAAATTCGGAAACGTTGAACCAAAATCGAAAATTTTTTATGCTATGCTCGTTAAGTATTAATAACTCGTGTAGAAAATGACGTCCTCCGAAACGTTGGAGGTTGCGTTTGTGACTGATGGTACATCTGGCGCCACAGTATGGGATACAGCCAACGGAACAATGTTGAAAACGTATCGCCACACGACGTCTGTGAGCCAGAACTGCGTCAGTCTGTTAGGTAACGATTATCTCATTGCTGCGGACAAGGGTCCGCTCATACACACTTGGCCAATCAATAGCCAAGAGAAAACACATCAAGTACGCATGTTGTGTGGAGGAAAAATCAATTCTCTGGCCGCTAGTCCTGACGGTTTGTACATCGCGGTGGCGATCGGTGAAAAACTTCAAGTTTGGTTGGTGAGTAGTCTTAGAAGGCCGTTATAGTAACGATTGATAAGTTTTTTTACAAAGACAACGACATTTAAAATTCTTATCTCGTGTGTATAATTAGTTTCTAAATGTAATTAATTTTTAAGTAAGCTTCTCGTTATTTACCTCAAACTTTTTAATTTTACATTAAATACATTTCATTTTTCATTAACAGTGAATGGTAATTACTTTTAATATTTAATATTACCAGTAAATGTGCTTTGTATATTTTGATTTTATTGTACTTAATGGATTTGTATTATTTAATTATGCAGGCTTGTTCTGGAAGGTTATTGAAAACTGTCAGTTTACTATTACTATTATTAAGTGGTCTCCAGATGGATCTTATTTGATCACCGGTAATTACTTGAGTTATAAAATTTAATAATATAAATTAAAACTATAATTTAATTATGAATTAAAGTGGTGAAGATGGTCTTGTTTGTGTGTGGTCATTGGCAAAATTAATCAACAATTCTCATTCTACCTTACAACAAACATTTTTTACTGGCAGCCAAACAAATCAGTCAGCGCCTAATTATACATTTTCGGATCATTCTGTAAGAATTACTGGAATACATATAGGAAATTGTACAAGATGTATACGTATTTTTACTACTTCAGTTGACAAAACTTGCAAGGTATAATTTTATTTACAATTATAATAAAACATAAATTAATAGCCTTACAACTTTTATTTTTAGATTTATGATTTATCAACTGGTATCATGTTATTATCAATTGCATTTGATGCAATCCCATCTAGTCTTGCTGTTGATTCGGTAGAAACTGCTGTTTATATTGGTACTACTATTGGCCCTATACGATCATTTGATCTTGTATCTCCTCCACGCACCCGTGAATGTTATATATCAGACAAAGAAAGTGGTGTCAAATTCATTGGTCACACCAAAGCTGTTATTGCTTTAAATGTATCAATATTTGGTGATGTATTAGTATCAGGATCGACTGATTGTACACTAAGAACTTGGCATATTGCGAGTCGTCAATGTTTACGTACAATTCAACTAAAAGAACCTGTTATTAATATGTTTTTAACAATGATACCCCATCAATTAACTTCAAATGAATTGGAGCCTAATATAATACTTAAAAGTTTTAAAAAAACGGAAGAAATAGATGATAATTTAATTGAAGTATATAGTCATAATGATCTTTTTGAAGAGGAAAATTATATTATTGAACATAAAGATAATACTTCTATTTACGAAGAATTAGAAAAAACAAAAGCTATCAATGCAAGAATCTATGAATTTGCACTCAACTCTATATTAAAAGACAGTGAAACAAATCCTAAAGAGGTATGTCAAATATTTTGATAAATTCAATTAAACCTACTAGTCCATGATCTATAATTGTATTAAATTATTTATTTTTAGGATATAGATTTTAATGATTTTTCAATAGTTGATTTTGAATCAAATGGATTTGATGTTAATGTTAATGATGAAAACTCATCGAATGTAGAAACAAATAAATATTCCACCACTCCAAAAAAAACAAAAAAAAGAAGAAGAAGTAAAAAACGTTAATTAGTCATGCTAAAAATCTTAGCATGCAATTTAAACAACTAGATTTTTGAGTTATTCTTAAATAAAGTTAAATTTAAAAATTATCAATTGCAATCTTTTACTTTAGTAAAATAATGATAAAAATAACTAAAATTATAAAAATGAGCCTGTCACAGGGCGGGCAGAAGATGTGAAACATCAACGTCGATTGACCAGCATTATTGTCTACCCTAAACTTAGAAAAATAGTATTAAAAATAATAAAAATACAAAGTTAGATTTTATTTTAATTAAATGTATTACTTTAGTAAGTAACCATCGTATTTTTAAAAATTGAATTTTGATTTTAAGGAAATTTATTTTATTATAACATTATTTTAAGCTGACAGTTATATATTTAATTAAGATAACCCGCGTCATTAAGTAACAACGTAAAGATGTACCTAACCTGATATAATATTATATATTTTACCATTTCAGTTAATTAGCTTGTCAAGACAATCAATATTTATTATAAACATTCATTTAATTGCTATTCTTGTAACACTACAAATACTATTGCCGAATTGCATGCATGATACCGAACTTAAAATTTATTTAATGATTAGTTTTAACGAGCCGTTAAATATTTTTACAGAAGCGTTTGGGTTGCACAAATCGTACAATAGAAATATATTGGTATTAAACATATTACCGAGGTTTGTTTTATTTCCCGGGAGTTATAGATTAATTAAAAATACACCAGTCATCGTTACCACCACAGTTTGTGCGTACCTTTACAATACAATGTATACAATACAAATACTATCTTATGTATATTTAATCAACGTATACACGTGTCGATTTGGTGGCGGAGCAAAGAGAGGGAAGCGCGGCCGAACGATATACGCAGCGCTCACCAATAGATGGGAAGCGTGATGCCAAAAACTATGACAGCACTACAGCCTGCCCAGTGTCGTCCCGAGGGAAGGGCAAACGGGACACTCGCCCAGGGCCTCGTGCCTCTAAGGGCCTCGCGTTTATACAATATATATACCATTTATAAATAGATTATAGATATATGGATTGAGGACCACTATTCTGGTGTACCTATGGATTTCGATATAATGTTGTAGGGCCTCGAATTCTAATGATGCCCAAGGCCTCGCAGAGCCTAGAAACGGTACTACAGCCGGCTTCAGACCCGTGGCAAAAAATGTATCATCACATCGAAAGAATTTTAAAGATTCTTAATACCACTAACGAACATCAGTACAAGTATTCATGATTATGTAGATTCCATTATTATCTGGTAACTTCTCGAAGGCGAAAAAATCAAGCCGCCGGACCGGGAATAGAACCTCTCGGTTGCCAGGCGATTGCTCTACCACTAAGCTACCCTACCACACAGATTTAAGACGTTATCTCCCCCCCCCCAAATAAGAGGACGCCACACCAAAAGTGAAACGTAAACACCGACCGATAAAACGCGCTATTAGGTGTTTTCGCGGAGCGCATGCACGTGTTTTAATAGCTCGCGATCGGCACAACCAGTCCGACGAATGTTCCATGCGGGAGCCCATTTTATTATTGCATGAACGGTCTTGGTATACGAGTACCGACGATAACGTAAACATAATATAAAGATAATTTATGACTATACTGAAATTACACTGAAATATTATATCATTTTATAATATCCACGCGCACGCCCATAAACTTATGATACTTATGAATAATATTTACTCAAATGTACAAAGAAATCATTCGTATAATTATTTTTGAGAACTAGTCGAATAGTATTTCATTCAAAAAATCATGTTATTAAAGTTCACCGTAAATTAAAAACATTTACAGTGAACTTTAATAACATGGTTTTTTGATTTTTTTTTTTTTTCATTTCTTTATCTAGAATATAATATTTTATAAAAAAAAATCGATTTTAAATTTTAATTAGTGAGCTATCTACCTTCCAAATTTTTTGTTTGATTTTTTCGCTATTTCGACTTCGTATATTTTCCATTTTCCTATTTTTACCGTATTCAATAAATGCATTATTACGTACAATTTACGTTATAATCTAGTATGTGTACCGGTTATCACATAATTTTTTTAGTTTTTATGGAATTATTTATAATATTTTAGCTTTCTACTAGTATCTATTTTACTTAATACTTTTGTACCAATTATACCTTCAATTTACGAATTTTAAAGATACGATTCACGCGCGCATCTAATAAAATATTGATATTTTTTAATTAATAAATAATAAAATATATAGTATACTAGTTCATACTATCATTAAAAATTGTATTGAAGTAAAATTGTGTTTTGGATGGTATAATATAATAAATATTAGGATTTACAAATCATTTTTAGTAATCTACAATGAATATAAAATGTAGGAACAATAAGTTAGAAATAACAATTATTAAAACTTCATAATGTAATTTTTTTGTAAAAGTTTTGTTTGTTTTAGGTACTAATATAATACAAAATATTAGTTATTTATAAATTGTTTTATTTAATATATAATATACTCTAAAATAAAGGCACTTATTAACAAACTATTTTAACCATTTTAGTTTTCTTTTTTATGGGCCTGTGCTTCTAAAATATGAGCTGGTTCCCTTATATCACTAACTAATGATCCTTTACCGTAAAGGGGGTCAACAATTTCCGGTAATAAACATTCTAGATAAAATCTAAAACAAAATATGACAAAAAAATTAACATTTAACTATACAAGTCATTTATTCTTTATTTCTTACAATTGTAATTTTCTAACCATCCTTTAATTTCAAAAATCAACATCAAAAAAAATTTATTCAACATTTGTCCAATTATTTGTATGCATAATGAAGTAACACATATTTCGTCTTGTTATTCTCAATTGTCACATTACTTGAAAATAATAAGCATGATCTTCAGAGAAATTATACTTTCTTTTATCGAACTATATGGTAACTAAAACAATATGATAAACAAATTTTTGATTTTATATAACATTGTAGTACAGTAGTGCATAAAAGTATACTGAGATAATGTGTATTGTGTGTTGAACTAAGATAATGATATTATTTTAATATTAAAATTATTCATAATCATAAATTATCATACAAATCAAATTTCGTTCAACTGCTTCCATGGCATTAGTAGTATATTTTGAAGTGTATGGACATTTGATTTCCAAAATTACATCTTGTCCAAACAGTCCATCAGAACATAAGTTATATATTTATATATTTATTTTTTATATATATTTAATTTGCTATTATGTGTGATAACTGAATAGTGAAAACATTGTAATAATTAACACTATATAATTTTGAATACCTACCTACTTACATAATTATTAATTTATGTGATTGTGTTACCTTGACTTGCAGCCAAAAATGGATATTCTCAGTCAATGAATATGCCACATAACTTCACATATACTTGGTAAAGTTTTTCAAAATGAGTTCTTGCAGATGGTTCCATTTCTATACCGTAAGTCAATGATTTACAAGTTACAGGTGGCTTATAAAGTATTCCATGGACTTTATTTTTGCAGCTAGTATTGTCTCTCATTTTAAAAACTTCACCAAATTTCGACGCAGTTAACCTTATTTTCCTTTCTCTAAACCATAACTGCCTTTGACTTTAGTCTCTCGTAAATTTTACAATATCAATTCGATCAACATTCAGTAGCTTTTTTAAAAATTCATTTTTTTTTCTCCACCATATCTTCATTACATAAAATAAGGAAATCATCTAAAGGCTCGGCTAAACCATAATATTTATCAGGTACGCTGAATGTAAATTTGTGTTTCATGCGAATAACCCCATTATCAAAATGTTTTCGCCTCCTCATGATGATATTATTCCGAATTCTATTAATATTTGTTGCATATTTTTTACTAAAAATTCCTATTTAAAATAAAATTAGCAATTAAATTGTTTATTATAGATATAGATATGAATTACAATATTTAGATTATTTTATTTATCTGGACTTCTAGAAATATTTTTTTTTTTTTGGACTGCGCGTATATAATTTTTAGAATTAAACGCAACAATTGCAGCTCGTGTCTTATAATTATTTCCCTGCGTAAAATTGATGCGTTTTCCTCCGATATGCTTATTGATTTAGCTGTTGAATTGTTCACATGGGTTGTTGCCTGTATTTTCAATCAAGCTCTCTGTATTTGCAGCTAATCTATATACGATATTTCGTATATCAGACATCAAAGAAGTTAACCCCGAGAAGTTAACATATTTACCTAAATATAGTTGTTATATTTATAAATTATATTAGAGACTTCTTTATTAAAAATATTTAAGATATTTTAATAATATATTTTATTTATTTAATTAATTTATTATTATTGTAATCAAATTATTAAAATATAATACAAGTATATTATTAGTAACGTGTTAAAACATTTAAAATGTCTAACAAGAATGAAAGAATTATCTATTATTAGTTAAACTTGTATTTAAGTTGGCAAAAAATAAAAAATAGAATTTGCTCAAAAATTTTAAATTATCAACTAAAATACATTATAAATATAAAATGATAAAAGAAAATAAAAATTACTTTTTCAATTTTTGATTGTTATTTATTAAGTGTTACTAATTACAATAATCTGATGGTTTAACTGTTAATTCTAAAATCAATATAATGTATAATGTAATTATTAATTATTAAATAATAATGTTAATATACTTATGTATTTTAATTAATACTTATAAGTTGCCACTAAGATAATATTTAAACTACTAAATTATTAAACAGCACAAATAATTATTTAATATATTTTTAATGCATTTTTAAACTCAAAATAAATGAAAATATTTTTCAAAGACTATAAAACAATATCCATTGTCTTGATTTGACAAATTAATGTACAATAAATTATAAATTAACAAATATCTATCAATATACAAATAACAAATACGTTCATCACTAAGAGTATAAATTTAAAATATTATCACAGTAACAATGTTTTTACAACAGAATTAATATCAAATTTTTTTCCTTAATTTAAATCGAACAATTTTAAACATAAAATATTATCACAAAAACATCGTTTTTACAACAGAATTAATATCAATTTTTTTTCCTTAATTTAAATTGAACAATTT